ATCGAGCTGGACCTACGGGATGAGTAGATGGATGTTTCATCTCTTCATCCAGAAGAAAACAAGAGGAAGCTAGCTAAGTATTATTATTAAAATATTTTTGTCCTACAAAATTCCACAATGAAGCCTTTTGCTTATAAGAGATTTACGCCTTGACTCAAGAGAAGGCAAGTTGGAACGCAAGTGGAAAGGTTCGTACAAGGCCCGGGAGATAGTAGGTGTCGGCACGTTTGAGCTTAAGCGATTGGGTAGTAAATCCATCTATCAAACATGGAGCATTAAGAACCTTAATTTGTATTATTCACCTACCAATTAAGGTCGTCAATTACACCCAAGACATTTAAGTTATGTTCTCAACACATATTTTGGAGGCACCCACTCGACGACTATTTTTAAGTAGTTTTGGCATGTAATCTAGTGCACTAAGTATGAATTGTGATTTTTGAATTTTCACTTCACATTTAGCGCCCACTCTCACCTAGTAAAGCACCCTAAATCTAGGGCCCCAGGGCAAACCATTGAAAGTGCCTAAGGTAACACCTGGTAATGCGTAAAACGCGAGGTAAGAAAGGCTACATGGCTTTAAAGGTTGACATGGAAAATACCTATGATAGAGTTGAATGGGCCTTTCTTCTTGCGGTTTTAGACAATATGGGTTTCAGTTCGGTCTGGCAGGGGTGGATACATGAATGCATGCGATCCGCATCCTTCTCGGTTCTTATGAATGGTACGCCTTCGTGGTACTTCACTTCCTCGAGAGGGCTTCGACAAGGGGATCCGCTTTCCCCCCTCCTGTTTGTATTATGCACGGAAGGGTTTGCGGCACTCCTGCGCAAGGCTATCTCTGAGAAGAAGCTGGATGGGGTGAAAGTGGCTTTGCGGGCCCCCAAGATCTCGCATTTATTCTTTGCGGATGATTCTTATTTGTTCCTGCGCGGTACTCTCCAGGAATGCGAGAATCTGATTGAGGTCTTAAATGAATATGAGGATCTTAGTGGTCAACGGGTTAATTTGGCTAAATCGGCAGTATGCTTTAGCAAGAATATTGCGTTGCATGACCAGGAGTTTTTGGCTGCTATTTTGCATGGTAAAGGAAACCGTACCGGACATCATACCGGATTCCTTTCTGGTATGGTATTTTGTGGTACGACCGTGGTTCAACCGTTTTGTACCGGTAAATACCGTTTTTCACTATTGATAGAGAAATGAAATGCGATAGTATAAAAAATATTATCCATCAAAAAAAGAACCAAATAGAGCATTATACAACCATTCCTTACCTAATTAATCAGATTAATTGACTATCGATGGCTTTGGGTCTTGGGATGGAAAAGAGCTCGACCTATTCCTCTGATGCGGCGTTCTTGAGCAGGGGAGGGAGACTCCAGCAGGTATCGGCGCGGCGTTCTTGAGTAGGGTAGGGAGACTCGAGCACGGTCGTCGCGGCTGAGGAGGAGAGAAAGGAGCGGCGGAGCGGAGCAGGGACGACTCGACTCGCCGGTCGTGGGTCGCCAGATAAGAAGAGAAGAGGAACGGCGGAGGAGCGGAGCGGGGATTGGCTCGACCTTTCGCCGTTGCGGGTTGCTTCTTTCCTCTCGCCGGTCGCGGGCCGCCAGTCACCAGAGGGAGTGGAGAAGAGGAGCGGCGGGGATGGGGAACAGGGGAAGAAGGAAACGACGTTTTGGATTAGGGTTTTGTGTTTTGGCGCTGTTGAATGCCGATTTTTTTTTTAATTTTAGTGCTTAAAACGTGGACGTATTCTTTCAATAAGGCTACCGCCGGTTAGACCAAAACCGGGCGGTTTTTCTTTTTGTATCGGTCAAACCGAAAAAAACCGGCCGGCACGGTAAAATCAGCGACAATCAGCCCACCGTACCGCTTTTGGTCCATTTTCCGGTTGAACCGGCCGGTACGATCCGGTTTCCTGGTCTATGCTATTTTGGGGGTCGGAGCGGTAGGGGTCCATGATAAGTACCTAGGTTTTCCTACGCTAATTGCCAGATCAAAAATGGCTACCTTTCGGTATTTAGAGGAGAAGCTGCTGGAGCGGTTACAGGGGTGGAAGCAAAGGACATTGTCGTGGGCTGCTAAAGAACGTTGATTAAATCAATCGCTTTGGCACTACCATTGCATGTTATGTCCTGCTTCAAGTTGCCTTTATCTCTGTGTCGTCTGTTGGACAAACATGTGGCCCGCTTCTGCTGGGGGGTAGTGGAGGATCAGTCGAAGATTCGTTGGGTGTCATGGCGGAATATGTGTTGGAGCAAGCATGATGGGGGGATGGGGTTTAGACGGTTTGAGCACTTTAATCAGGCCCTTCTGGCTAAAATTGGGTGGCGTATTATAATGGAGCCACAATCCCTATTAGCCCAGGTTTACAAAGGGAAATATTTCCCCAGAGGGGTGTTCATGCAAGCGACGGCTCGGTCACGCCCGTCGTGGGGGTGGTAAAGCATTCTCTTTGGTCGACAGTTGCTGGAGAAGGGTTTAAGATGGCATATTGGTAATGGTCGATCTGCCTCACTACTCCACTCTAACTGGATACCCCGGCTTCAGCTTGACCCCCCTAGTATAATCCACAGGTGTTACCGGAGGGGGGGGGGGGGGGACCCGCGGGTAGAGGAGATTTTGTGTCCTGGTGAAGGAAAATGGTGCGACCTTAAGATCCACCGACCTGTCAGGCCATTAAAGCAATCCCATTGCCTCGTAGGGATATTGAAGACAGATTGATCTGGCATGATACTATTGATGGGGTTTTCTCCGTCAAGTCTGCTTATCATCTGGCTGTCGCCTTGGATAGGAGGGAGGGTAGGTGGAAATCTGTGGTTGGGTGGATGGACAAGCCTAGCTGGGTTCGCTTGTGGAATGCGGATATTCCCCCGAAGTTGAAGGTCTTTGTTTGGCAGATCCTTAACCGTGCTCTCCCAACGACGGAGGCTCTCATTGGGAAGAAGGTTGTAGTCAATCCCAGATGTCCGGTCTGTTGGGAGGGTACTGAGACCCTGGAGCATCTCTTTCTTGAATGTCCAGTGGCTCGTGCCCTCTAGGACTATTCGGGTCTGGACTACCTTGGAGAGGGATTGCCTCGGCATACCTTCCCGTTATTTCTGAAGAGATTGCTGGCTTTGGTCCAAAACCCGGCGTTGTTCATGATGGTGGTGGCCATTCTGTGGAGGATTTGGCGATCTCGGAACTGGGTTGTCTTTGAGGGCAAGCAGTTCGGGATCCCATCCTTGATGCGTCAATTTCAACAGCAGTATGATGAGTGGGTGGGTCTATCTGCAGGCCCTGCATCATTGCCGGTTTCGTTGGCGCCAGATCCAGCCCATATTAGTTCTTTGGGGGACACTATGGCGATTTGTATGTGGGATGGGGCCACGCGTAGTGATTCTCACTCTGCTGGTGGGATGGTTCTTATGAACCCAGCAAGGGAGATCCTCTTGGCAAGGGGAGTCCAGTTTCCGTCGATTGATGACCCCATGGTTGTGGAATTGCTCGTACTCAGGGAGGCGCTCGTTTGGTGTCTAGAGCTCGGCTTTTCGGAGATTAGGTTGGAGGGGGATGCTAAAGTGCTCATTGATAAGATCAACAAGGCAGATACTAGAGATAACAAAGTGGGGGCTGTGCTGGAAGAGATAGGATACTATTTTCAGGCCCACCCTGGTTTTACTATACGATTTGTAGGTCGGCGTCACAATAGGGTAGCCCATTTGGTGGCTAGAAAGGCCCTTTCTTTGTACCCGACTATAAGTCGGCATTTTGATTTCCGTACCTGGCTTGCTTCCAAGATGTAACTATTGATTGCTTATATCAATATATTATTACCTTTTGTCAAAAAAAAAAAAAGACACCTGGTAATGCGTATGATGAGTCATAGTGTCAAGGTTTACTTTGAAAGCCCCCAAATTTCGCAAGTCAAAGCGCCCAAAAATAGTGCCATCATATTGTAATTCAGTGAGAAGTATGATTTGGGATGTCGAGTTTTATCCTAAAAGCGCTCACATCTAGCGCCCACATACTAAAAAGTTCCCGCATATATGTTGTAATGTCAATGCCTACCTTTTAAACTCCCAGATTGTTGGCTTAGTAAATGAATATTGTATAACATCTGAACTCTCAAAATGTGTTCCCGTATAATTAAAGCTCAGAATCCCAGGTAGTATACATTTAACAGGTAATTACTACAAGTTCTTAAAGGAAAGAGATGCTTAGACCAACAAGCACTACCTCGCTCGCGTCATCCTCTTCGGACACCTTAAACACCTCGTCTGACGCATCATCCAAATACGCCGAATTTGGGTCCTTAATCGGGTGCCCTCATTCCATGAAGTTCAATACGAACTCCATATGGTCGTCGTGTTCCATTTCATGCCTGGGTTGTCCTTCTAAACCTTCTTCCTAACAATGTTGACGTTATCAAACATGGCGTTGAGAATTATCTTCTTGCCCTCCTTGAACTCCTTCAGCTGGTGACAACGTCCGCTCTTGCGGTGGTAAAGCGCACAATGAGTGTCTCCTTCTTGTGATATTCCACCTTATCATATTCAATTTACGCTTGTAGTATTTATTCAATTCCTCCTTCTCTTGAGTGGACTCATCCTTTTGCTCCTCAAACTCTTTGTCGAAGTCGGCCAAAATTTTGGCTTCCACCTCAGTACAGATCTTAGCGAGCTCTACTTCTGGAGCAGTTTCAAGGCAAGAGGCGCAAGTAGCGGTCTGCAGTTGGGTGTCCTCACACACTTTATCCAGCTCTTCTTTGTGCATATTCGTGCTCTCCAGATCATCCTACAGATGGACAAACGATATAATATTACAGCGGTATAATGCAATTTGATTATAGGCAAAATACATCTGTACAACCAAAACTTTAGCGTTTGTGACAATAATAACCACTTTTGGACTTATAACCAGAATTTTGAAAGTTTGATGACAAATATAGCCATTTCCGTTGTAAACTTTAATGACGTTATAAACTCCGTCAGTTAGGTTAACATTTGGCTGACTAATATGCCAAATCATTGCACACATCAGCGACAACTCAACCCTTGGTGACATGTAGATGCCACGTATTATTTTAATTAAAAATTCAAATAAATAATTTTAATTTTTCATTAATCAAAATTAAAAAGAAAGAGCAAAAACACTATCCGCTGTCATCTTCTTCCTCTTGCCAGCAACAGAGGAATCCCAAGCCAATTAATTTGGGGATGAACATTCAGGAACCACCATCTTCTAAAACTCCAAATGCGGAGGATGAGGCCAGCCACGACGATGCGGAAAGGCAGAGACGATGACTCTGACTTGTCGACTTCGGCAACAACAACACAGTGAAGGAGAAAAGATGGTTGTCCCGCCGCCATGACCAGGCTCGGAGAGGGAATCAGTTGCTCCGGTCATCTTCCCCGACGAAACTGAGCTCAAATTAGAGTAAAATTCGTGTTGATTCGACTCAATTTGCACATATATTAATATGACAACGAAATTTTGAACGCACGGGGGACTTGTTGGCTGGCTGATGGGGATTTAAAGGGACGGGCCCGGGGAAAAGAACAAGAAAGAAACAAGAGAAACAAAAATGCACACAGTTGGGAGATTTGGAAGCAGTGAAAAGGCGGAAGGGCAAATAGGGGATGCTATACTACTGGAGCCAGCCTACCGGCATCCAAGGGCCAGCAGCAGCCATCGCTGGTTGTTGGTGACGTTTACCTTCTTTCCCTCTTCCCAAAGGCTCCCTCCGGACTTCTCGAGGACGAAAAACAAACGTATTCATTCGCAAAATAAAAGAACAAATAATAAAATAAAAACCTAGACCAGGGATCTTTTTTGAAAAAAAATAGTAAGCAACGACCACCACTTTCCCTCTCGTCGTCGTACCTCCATAAAACCACCTACCCCGCTCCCACCTCACCTCACCACACCACCAACCAAACCCTTCCTTCCTTCCGCCCACCTTCTCTGATCGTGATCGTGATCGTGATCGAGATCTCACCCCATGGCGTCTTCAGCTACCTTCGCGAAGCTCGACGCCGCCTCTTCCACTTGGATCGGCCGCCAATCCCTCTCCTCCCGACCCCAACCCTCCTCTCGACTCGCTCCTTCACGTGTCTCCCTCCCCATCCGCGCCGGCCACTACACCGATGAGCTCCTCAAAACCGCTGTAAGCCCCTTCCTTCCTTCCTTGTTCTTCTTCTGCTCTCCTGTTTCCCCCTAATCTTGATTGAATTCCTCGGGTCGAGCTTCCGCTCCACGCTCATCGCCCGTGCTTCCGTTATCTACCGGTTCCACTTCTGACTACTGACTTCTCTTTTTCAATGTTGATCTTATGGAGATTTTTCCCTGTTCTCTATTTTTCCCCTTCTCCCTCCCCACATGGGTTTTTGACGGATCGGTGATTTGGCGTTTTCTGATTATGCCTCTTTATTGTGTGTGGCTTTAGAAAACTATTGCTTCACCTGGCCGTGGAATCCTCGCGGTCGATGAATCCAATGCCACCTGTGGGAAGAGGTTGGATTCTATCGGGCTGGGCAACACTGAGACCAACAGGCAGGCTTACAGGCAGCTCTTGCTGACCACTCCTGGCCTTGGTGAATACATCTCTGGTGCTATCCTTTTTGAGGAGACCCTTTACCAGTCCACCACTGATGGCAAGAAGATGGTTGACTGCTTGGTCGAACAGAACATTGTTCCCGGGATCAAAGTCGACAAGGTATTCTGATCAGTAAAACTTTTTGATTCTGTGAATCTCATGTCTTTGTGTGCTGTTTGGAGGTTCCATGAGAGTTGGTGTGATTTCCAGAAGCTTATTGATGATGTTCACTCTGCTCTTTTTAATGCTTTGCTTTACAGGGTTTGGTTCCCCTACCAGGGTCCAACAACGAGTCCTGGTGCCAGGGTTTGGATGGTTTGGCTTCAAGAACTTCTGAATATTACAAGCAAGGTGCTCGTTTTGCCAAATGGTAAGTTCTCGATTTCTATGGTCTGCTCACGAGTTCATTACATCCATTGTTGGCTTACCCCAGTTTTAGGTCCACAACATAAGGTTGATGCTTTTAGAGTTTCTGTTGTTATGATGATGCTCATGGCACTGCAGGAGGACGGTTGTTAGCATTCCCTGTGGCCCTTCTGCTCTTGCTGTCAAGGAAGCTGCATGGGGGCTTGCAAGATATGCTGCCATTTCCCAGGTACTCAAAAGCTTACAAATTTCTTCTACCGGCATAATTCCGTATTGAATTCCAGTCATTCTTTTATGAGGCAATTCTTTCTATAAGTTTCCTCATGCCTGAAGTTAGGCCCTCCTAAAGACCTTTCCAAGAAGTAGGGAATGATATCATATGAATCAGTTTCTGTTTGATTGTTAGTTCTTAGATATAAATACAATGTTCATATGTTATAGGCTAGGGATGGCAATTTTGACCTGACCCGTTTTACCCGACCTGTTAGACCTGTTTTGGGGCGGGTCCGACCCGCCCCATAAACAGGGCGGGCATGAGTACTCTCATCGACCCGACCTGTCCTGACCCGCCCCATTCTCGACCCGTTCTTGTCTAAATTACACATAATTTTAGTCAAATTACTTAGGATTTTCCTTTTATTACATTAAATTTTAGCTATAATAAAGTTGTTTATTAGTGAAAACCTCAATTTCTTCAATAGTTTAACTATATTTATCATAATATTGTTTGTTTCCATGGTCTTATAATAAAAATAATAAACATTTCTAATATTTTCATATAAATTGCTTATCCATTGGGTCGACCTGCCCCGACCCGTGACCTGTAATAAATTACCCGACCTGCCACGGGACGGGTCTGGGTACCAAGAAACCCGCCCCGGACCTGCCCCATTGCCATTCCTATTACAGGCTCCATGAGAAGATTAAGCACTCATAGTTTGTAGTACTAGTACTTATTTATGCGCGTAGAAAAAACTGAGTGCTCCTATGTTTATCAGAAGTGTGTATAACATAGCTTAATGGAAGTTCTTAACAATGATCAGGCCCTTCTAAAGACCTTTCCAAGACGTAGGGAATGATATCCTATGAATCAGTTTCTGTTTGATTGTTAGTTCTTAGATATAAATACAATGTTCATATGTTACAGGCTCCATGAGAAGATTAAGCACTCATAGTTTGTAGTACTAGTACTTATTTATGCGCGTAGAAAAACCAAGTGCTCCTATGTTTATCAGAAGTGTGTATAGCATAGCTTAATGGAAGTTCTTAACAATGATCAATTTGCAAGTTGAACTTTTTTTTTATATCTTTTTCATTTTGTAGGATAGTGGACTTGTCCCTATAGTTGAGCCGGAGATTCTTCTTGATGGGGACCATGGAATTGAAAGGACCCTTGAGGTTGCGGAGAAAGTCTGGTCAGAGGTCATTTTCTACTTGGCAGAGAACAATGTTGTTTTCGAAGGCATCCTTCTGAAGCCTAGCATGGTTACACCTGGGGCCGAGCACAAGGAGAGGGCTTCTCCAGAAACAATAGCAAATCACACGCTCACAATGCTGAGGAGGAGGATACCTCCTGCAGTTCCTGGAATCATGGTATGTTACGTAAACTTTGCCTTTTTCTAATGTATGGTGATTTACTTTCTTTATGGTGTTTGTGGGGCACTTTTATTCCACCTTCGCAACAATAAGGGAAACCAGAGTGTCAACCCATACTGCTGACTACTAAGCTTCCAGTGTTGGGCTTCTCGAGTGGAGGCTAATATTGATGTCAATGCCGCCTCATGGTCAATGACTGTTGCTTGGATATGTTTGAGTTCGTAATTTATTTACTTGAATCACAACTAGAGAAGCAAAATCGATGAAGCAAATTAATCTTTTTTCCTTTTTCCTCAGTTTTTGTCTGGAGGACAATCCGAGGTGGAAGCAACCCTCAACCTGAATGCGATGAACCAAAGCCCCAACCCGTGGCACGTTTCTTTCTCTTACGCACGTGCGTTGCAAAACAGTGTGCTTAAGACCTGGAAAGGGCAGCCTGAGAATGTGGAGGCTGCACAGAAAGCACTGCTGGTACGTGCCAAGGCAAACTCTCTTGCCCAGCTTGGCAAGTACACTGGCGAAGATGAGAGCGCCGAAGCCAAGAAGGGTATGTTCGTCAAGGGATACACCTATTAAGTGGGAGCATTTTTTGGGCTCTTCTGTTACTATATTTCCTTGTATCTTCCTGTTACATAATAGCTACGCAAATTGCTGACAAGACGTTTGTTAATTCCATGTTGAAGTGTCTACATTTCTTTTGTTTGAATCTCAATAATAGTTGAAGAGGATAGGAAGTATCCAGGATTTTAGCTTTGGAAAGGAGTGAGATTGTTCAGTAAGTCGGACAGACCGTTTGTATTCAATTCTTCCTAAATCATATAATGCTTGTTCCGTTGGTGGTGATAAGTGTGAGCTTTTAATCACTACTGCTGGGAAAATCAAATGGTAAATACAATATATTAACCACAATTATTAAGCATCAGTAAATTATAGCCACAATTATCGAAATTCAAATTATTAGCTATAACTATTATTACGGGCTGCTTATTTGGATTGGGAGAGGAAGATAATGTTGTTCTTCCAATGTGGTAATTGCTTTGAGCCGCAGAAGACCGAGTTCACAGACAACATTGCGCAATGGTGGAAGCAGATTCAACTCCGGCAACGGCGGAATTTGCAGCCAGAAGTCGACACATGGGTCGAGCTAAGGGGACTCATGAGGTTCTTGCCGGGTTACTATTAGCATGAGTTGCACGAATCACTTCATGGAATTCGCCAAGGAAATCGGTATGTTGATGATTACTTCAAAGAGCTGGAATTGCTCATGATGCGAGCTGATGTTAGGGATGATAAAGAGGCTAAAATTTCGCAATTCCTTCACGGACTGAATCATGAAATTCGTCACGAAGTTGATCTTCGACCCTTTGTCAAACTAGAAGAGGCAGTTCACCTCGCAATCAAAGTGGAGAGGCAATTGAAGTCAGCATAGGGAAGACGATTTTCGTTAGTCACCAAGCTGACCCCACAGCAGAATGTTGAGGCCATCAACCCCCAGTTCAAGCTAGATGGAGCCAAACATTCAGTGAAGAATGTCACGCCTATTATTCAAGAGCAGATTGGAGGTTCTAGCGGAGGAATCCAGTGCTTTAAGTGCCATGGCATGGGTCATAAAGCAAATCAATTCCAAACTTAAAGGCGTTAATTTTGTGCGATGGAGAGTACATCAGTGACGATGAGGACAAGGAGAAGGACGATGTTGAATCGTCTAAAGAAGAGGTTATTAGAGATATGATGTACCAAATTGTAATAAGGATAAATTTACATAGATAGATTGTAATTAGGATAGGTACTATAATGTAATTTGATTAGGTTAGTTAGTAGTCTCGCAACTGTTTCCTGCTTCTTAGGAGAACAGAGTATAAAACCAGCAACTCTAGCTGGATAATGTACGTTTTTTTATTCTCTCAATCAAAGCAAAAAGAATTAATCAGAAATCTGACATGGTATCAGAGCTCCTCTGAGCGTTTTCTCTGTCTCTCTTTCTTCTTTTTTCTGTTCTTGAGATCGTTCACCTATGGTGATTCATGATTCCTTCTCTTCCGGCGACGAAGCTGCAAATCCTCACACTGGAGGTCGCTAGAGCAATTCTGGTGTGATCTTGTACAAAGGCGTTCCAATCTCTGATCCTGCCTCTCCATTCTTCATCCATCCGTCGGAGAATTAGGGCCAATGCCTCGTATCTCAGCCGCTCAACGAGAACAAATTCTCCAGCTGGGAAAGATCGATGATTCTGGTCATCGATGGCAAGAACAAATTAGGGTTCCTTAATGGCAAAATCCCGTAGCCAGAAGACGATTCTCCACTGCTCGAGCCTGCTGATCTTCAGGAAGCTATCTTCAATCTCAAACAAGGTACAATGAGCGTCTCCCAATACTATTCTAAGCAACGAGCACTGTGATCAACTAGCCAACTATCGCTTTATTCCATATTGTGATTGTGGAATTACTTGTCATTGCGTTCTGGCTTCTTTGAGGAAAGACTATATGAATGACAAAGTAATTTATGTTCTTGCGCAATCTGAACGATAGTTTCAATGGACCTAGATCCATAGTTATGCTCTTAGAGCCTTTACCTCCAATCAATAAAGTGTTGCCATGATGGTTCAACATGAGAGGGAGAATGGTTTGTTGCCCAAGCCACAACCTCATCCTAACCCTGATTCTACCTCAGAGAGCATGGCCTTCTTTACTAAGGCATCAGGGTCACACTTAGGTGTCCAGGGGGCTGGTCAGGGGTTCAAGAAACAAGGGAAGAATCCCGTTTGCACATTCTGTGGCTACACTGATCATACTGAGGATGTCTGTTACAAGAAGAATGGCTATCCACTAGGGTATCAGTCCAAGAAGAGGCAACAAAATCCTAGACAGGCAAACAGTGTTTCTACTGATATGACTCCTTCTTCCAATGGATCCATTATGATCAATCAATCTGACTGGCACCGTTTTCAGCAACAGTATCAGAAGATGTTGAGTTTTATGGCTCCACAACTGCAGCAACACAACCAGCAAAACAACCAAGCTCCTTCTCAGAATCAGTTTTCTGCTCAACAGCATTATCCTCCAGTTCCAGCTGTTTTCTCTAATGCTTACTATGCCAACAACCCTTCTCACTACTTAACATCAAATGATAGTGATGGTTCTGGACAACATAATATCATCAGCAGAGCTAACTCTGTTGCTTCTCATGCCTTTGGTAAGCCTAATTCCACAGGTACACTTCATTATGCTCTTAATGTTAATTGCTCTATTAAGAACAAATGGATTTTAGATACAGGCGCGACAGATCATATCATATGCTCTTCTGCTCATTTTTTGCACTCTAAGCCAGTTACCAAGGTCTATGTTCATATTCCTAATGGTAGTAAAGTAGCTGTCACTGCCATAGGTGTTGTTCAATACTCAGATCATCTCACATTGACCGATGTTCTATTAGTTCCTTCTTTTAGTTTCAATTTGGTTTCAGTAAGTAAACTAGTCAGAAGTACAACAATCGGCTTATGGTTTCACTACTCCTTGTGCTTCATACAGGCTTACCCCAGTTTGACAATGATTGGAACAGCTAGTTTGATCGATGGTCTTTACCTACTTCACCCTCCTTCTCAGACCAAACAACTTCAACACAATCTTCAGCTCAACACTAAACCAGCTTATCCTTCCAGAATAGCCTATTCTTCCTCTAAGCCAAGAATAGATATCTGGCATTATCGCCTTGGTCATATTCCAGAATGTAAAATTTCACAATTTCAAAGCATTGATAGCAATATTTCTTCAATTTCTGATTTCCATTGTACTGTTTGCCCTATGGCCAAACTGAAGAGACTTCCTTTTCCTATCAGTACAAGCAAATCAGTAGCCCCTTTTGATCTTATCCATGTTGATATCTGGGGTAATGCCCATGTTCTTTCTTTACAAGGACATGCCTACTTTCTCACCATTGTGGATGACTTTACTCGTTATACATGGATCTTCACCATGAAACACAAATCAGAGGCTCGTCCTATTATAATCAACTTCTTTGCTTTTATTGAAACCCAGTTTAAAGCATCTATTAAAACCATTCGCATAGATAATGGCCTTGAGTTTCACATCCCTGCTTTTTATAACTCAAAAGGTGTTATCCATCAAACCACCTGTGTTTACACCTCCCAACAGAATGGTATAGTCGAGAGAAAACACCAGCATATTCTAGCTGTAACTCGTGATTTACTCTTTCAAGCTTCTCTACCTTCTAAGTTCTGGCATTTTGTTGCAATGCATGCAGTCCACCTCATTAACAGAAATCCATCAAACCTTCTTCAGAATTCTACTCCTTATGAGAAGTTACATGGTGTACCACCAGATCTTACCCATCTTAAGATCTTTGGTTGTCTTACTTATGCAGCAACCATTCAAGCCACAAGAAATAAGCTTGATCCTAGGGCACAACCATGTGTTTTCCTGGGCCATCCCCATGAAACAAAGGGTTTCAGATTATACAGTCTGACAACTCACAACATTCTCATATCGAGAGATGTTTCATTCCATGAAACAATCTTTCCATTCAAACAGCAGAATCAGATTGGGTTTCAGATCGGCCGGTAAGGTTTCACGTTTCTTAACGAGGCATTTGAAGAGGCTGGAGTTCTTGGCACAGTTGAGGATCAATTGGGGAAGTGGAACTTCATGAGCAAAAGCAACCACTAAACAAATTCGGGAATGTGCATTTTCTCGCCGTCCGGTCGTTTAGTAATTGTTGGATTGAATTTTGACGTACATTCGCTTCGTTAACGCCTAGCTAATGATTATTGTTTGCGTAATTCCTGGTATTCTTTCGGCACTTCCAAAAGACCTCTTGTTCTAAGCCTTGTACAATATCAGAAAGCCTTTCTAGGCTCTGTTTATCTGGCGTATGTCGCCTCTTTCGTGCTCCATTATCGAGCCTTCTGGGAAGATAAGGAAGCTGCCATACGGCTCTTTTCTTGCCCAATTTCATGGTTTCAGGATCACCAAACAAGGAATTGGATTGAAGTCTTCTTGCCTAAATCATGGTTCCAGGCTTCCAGCGTACTTTGCACTTCGCCGATGAACATTCCGGTGAAGTGGATCTTTCCAGTACGTATTAATTAAGAGGTAGACGGTAAGGGTATTTTTGTTTGACTTTCCGTTTTCGCTGATTTATTTTCTTGTACGTGTTCTTCAGGATTCAAAATTGTGATTTAATTTTTCCTTGATAACCTTTTCAGTGGTTAATTGTCCTTTTTCAATCGTTTATCGCCTTTTGTGGTCTCATTATCATAGAGGATTAAATACCAATTAATAATCATTTATGGGGACGTGGTAGATAATTTTACTTTCCCCCCTTTATAGTCCGTCTGTTACTAATTTTCTATCTTTCCTTTTCTATTGCTAATTTTATTTTGTGATTGGAGAACGGATCAGGTCAGTAACCTTATGGTGAGTAACCATCCCACATTAGCATCCTCTCTCTCCTGGAAAGCCTTTAATTTTTCCCTCTTTAATCTTTGACGGACGATTTCTCACTCATTTTAAGTCGAAATTTAATTTTTTTTGCACAGTTAGATCAGATTAATTGTGCTCTTCAAAATGATATCCACTTTAATATATTTTTCGAGCAAAAAAAATTGAGCCATTTTTTACCAGTCTATACCATATGGTATTGACTAGTATTGAAATAAAAGCATACCTATGGTTTGAAAAACGTACCATGGTGGTATGAACAAACCAAGACTGTAGGATAGTTGAATGCATGATAGTAGAAGTATATTCATTGTCATTTACGACTTTTAACATTGTATACCACACAATACCACCCCGTACCAGGGTGGTATTGTATGGTATTGTGTGGTATTTTTTGGTCCTGTAATTTGTTCACTCAGAAATTTGTAGATCCAATAGATCATGATGAACTCGTCCTTTCTGTGCAAACGTTTTCAAAAACGAATTAAAAACGAAGAAGATACCATACAATACCACCCCGTACCAGGGTGGTATTGTATGGTATTGTGTGGTATTTTTTGGTTCTGTAATTTGTTCACCCAGAAATTTGTAGATCCAATAGATCATGATGAACTCGTCCCTTCTGTGCAAACTTTTTCAAAAACGAATTAAAAACGAAGAAGATACCATATGGTATGCAGTTGGTACCGAGAGGCCAGAATTTTTTTTTCTAAAAAAATATTGAAAATTATTCTCATTTGGTAGAGCACGATGAACTCGTTCCATTTGTGCAAAAAAAATTAAAATCGGAGTTAAAACGAAAAAGATATAAGCCGATTAAGAAAGCTAGGAAACATAAAAATGGTCCTTAATTTTCCATCCTTAGATCTGGATTTTCTAAATGAAGGGTCCAGATTTAGTTATTGATGGATGCATAACCCATGGTTATGCACCCTATCTTGAACCTTATGATTGGTGCTGACAAAATTTCCAGGAACGGAAATCCATTACAAGTAAGGTACCTTATTTTATAATTAATTTAATTGCTTGCTAATTATTTGTTATTACTTCCTTTCATTAGTCCGATCATTAGTTAAGGTAATTTTATCCTCCTATCATAATGATGATTTATGTTCACGTAATCCTTTTGATTAATTCTGACCTTATTCTACTTCTCCCATTCCATTTCCTTCTTTTTGTTAATTGCTCTTAATTATGGGGTTTTTTAATTGTCGTTTCAGTGGTATTAGGGGAATCTTTTTGTATGTTTTAAATTGTCTCCCAATTAATTATAGCTTTTATTCCTGAGCACTTCTACTATGCTATATAG